TAAAAAATAAGCATGGATCAAAAGTATTTAATCAATTAGGTATACAAACGCTTACCTTTAAGAGAACCGTGATGAATTTCTAATTTTTCTAGATCACTCTTTTTCACCCAAACCTGACTAGTGGAAAACTTATCCGGAGTCAATTCTATCGTAAACTTGTTCAAATTACTTACTTGATTAGTAAGGAAGTCAATTCGACCATCACAATCCCGATTTCTAACTCTAGCGAAATTTTGATTTCTATTTCTATTCAAGAATTTATGACACAAAGACCTTATATGTCCTAACTCACCACAATTAAAATAGGTAGGGATAAGCCTAGGTCCAAATTTATGTGGTCGTTGATATCTCTTCCTATATTGATAGGTCCTACACTGTCTAGTAGGCATTTGTCCTACGATAACCTTGTTCTTGAGTTCGAGATGAGGAACATGTGTAGATTGGTTGGCGGTAGGGATAAAAATGGTTTTGAAAGTACTCACCCTATTATGATCGGTCTGATTATATCCTAGGCCTCCATTGTTCCCAGGGAGCTTGGTCAAATCCAAAAGATTGTCCAATTTTGAGATCCACTAGAGAAAGCAAGAAGTTGAGAGACTTGGAATCTTCAAGTTCGCTCAGAAGGTTCTTAACTTGGATTTCTAATTTCTCATTCTCAACTATCAGCTCACTAACTCTCTTAGAGGACTTCTCAAGTTTACCTATAATATCTTTAATCTTAGATTATAAGGATCGATTTACAGGATCTAATTTGTTGAGGCACAAAGCGGGCTCCTGAAGGTCAGTTACAAGTTTCTCTCTAACTAACTCAAGTTCATAGACCTTTTTAAGTACAACTTTATTCACCTTCTTAATCTTAAGACTCACTTCAAATAATTTTTTATAAGTCTCACGAATCTCATCATCATTTTAAGAATCTTTCTCAGATTGCTTACCATCTATTTTATCAATCTTCTCAATGTCCTTAATAGATTCACTTTTAATCCTAACAGTGAATGTCATAAACTCCCCACTCTCCTCATGTGTAAACATTTCACTTTGATTATTCGAGCTAGACTCATCATCAGTGGGAGTTGCATTCATAGCTTTACCCTGATTTCTTTTACCATTAGGATACTCACTTTTATAGTGGCCAAAACCTTGACACTTATAACATCTCACATATTTAGATATCTTTCTAGACTCACTGGAATCTCCTCTATTTCTCTTTTTAGCCTTCTTATTTCTAAATATTTTTTGAAAATTCTTAACAAAGTAAGTTATTTCCTCATCATTAAGTGATTTCAAATCAGAAGAATCATAATCTTCTTCCCTAACAATGTTCAAGGATATAACCTTGTTCTTCTTAGGTTGAGATATGGTGAGTTCATAGGTTTGGAGATATCCAACCAATTCTTAAATTTTAACAGCATCTGGATCATTTCTCTCCTCGATAGCCGTAACTTTAGGCATAAATCTTTTAGGTAATAATTTCAAGATTTTTCTGACAATCTTAGACTCAAGAATTCTCTCACCTAAAACTAGAATTAACTATGTCATTCAAACTCGCATAGAAGTCATCAAAAGTCTCATCATCCTTCATACTAAATTTTTCAGGTGATACGACCATAAATAGAGCATGAAACACTTTACTATTCTAATTACACTCATTTAAATCTTTCTTAAACAAAGTTGAGATAACTACACCTGCAACTATGGTAGATGTGATGGTCTAACCATTCACTACGCTCAACCAAATACGTTCATTTATCGATTTCAGGATGGCTCTCATTCTAACTTTTCAATAGGTATAGCTACAACCATCAAAATATGACGAGACAAATAATGAACTACTCATCTAAAAATTTAGGGTTAGGAATCAAATTTGGGCACTGATACCACTTGAAAGTTATTAGTTCAACCCAAAAACCACCTAATAGGCGAATAACGCAGAATTAAAATTTTCAATTAAAAGCAACAAGTCACTTTTTAATTAATCTAGATGTTTAGTCAATCGAGTCAAATTATCCTATATTAAAGTAGTAAATAAAATAAGATTTGATGATGGAGAAAACCCTTAACTGGGTAAAAATTTCAGGACCAAATCAGTAGTTTCTACTCTAAACAATAAGAATTTACAGTATAATTCAGTCTAAAAAATCCATTAGAATCGCCGATCTAATTCCTGCAACCCCAAAGACCCACTGGAACGTGCTTCACTCACATCTGCTATCAATCTTCTGAAATTTTATATCTCTTGTGGAACACCAAGAACGTTTCGTTCTTGTACTCTTCGTGTGTTTCTAGTCCAACCTTCCTCAATTTTCAACAATCTCTGAAAACTATTGAGAAAGTACATTCTCAATGATATCTAGGAAGTGGGTGTTTTAGGTTATATAAATTAAAAGTTTTTCCCAAACTTGTGGTTGATTGATCTCAATAATCAATAGGTTAACCAAAATATTTGGATGTGTTCTTGGATCTTGGAATAATGATATAAGGATGTAAAACAATGATCAACCACCACCAAAAATGTATTGGGCATTGCGTATTTATAATATGAGGTGTTTATGTAGTATATGATTAATAAAACTCTTGAAAAACGAAAACCAGAGTTTTTCGGAAAATACCGTTGCTCGAGCGACAAGCGAGCGAAAGTCGGGCGACAATGATTCTACTTTGGATGCAGGAGCATTAGTTGGCAACATGCTAGCGTAAATCCAACAATTCTTTCTTTTTGTTCCATACTTAAACCCAAAGACTCATAATTCATCTATACAACCCTTCAAAATACTCATTGCCTTTTACAACTCTTTTGTAACAAACCTATTCTTTTACAATACCTCTTTTGTTTAAAAAATTGCCAATACAACTAAAAATCTAACAAAATTAAAGGTATTTAAAACCAACCTGGGTGGATAGATAGATAATCAATTAAAATTATAAATAGAACACGACGATAATTTATTTAATTTTATGTTTATGAAATATAAATACCATTAAAACAAATCACTTGTTATTTTTCATATTTGATGATAAAATAAGAGGAAAAAAATTCAAATTTCTTTGCGTACAGTAACCATGATTTATTTTTTCCGATGCACGTACACGTGATATTGAATTCTAATATCTCAAATTAAAAGCTTGTCTGACTCGTATTTTTTGAGAATATTATTATTCATTTAAGTAGGAAAAAATTTAAATAGCAGCAGAAAAGCTATGCAGACAAATAGTGTTGCATGAGACATAAAGACTCATTGGATCTCCTTAATTATTTGAGATCAATATTGAAGAGTGATTGAATTTGCAATGATTAGTCAAAAAGATTATTCATAAACCAAATTTCAAACATAAATTTGATTCGACTGCTTTTTTGGAAGGAATAATAATCTTGACAACTTGTTATATCATCCCTATTTTCACTTTTGTTTTTGATTTATTGGTCTTGTCCTGGCTTGTCGTTTACTATTGTTTCACTGCCTTTGTCTCAGTGTAACTTTATTCTCAACATCAGTAAACAAAGAAGAACAAAAATAAGACTTACACTTTATTATTGGAAAAATCGGAGTTGAGGGTCGCTAACTTTTTACTCATGTTAAATTCCGTCTCTAATCTTTCAATTTGTTTGTACCGATGGTTGCAGAAGACGGTTTCTGTCCATGGAGCAGTCAAAACTGAACAATTAGTACGTGATCGTGTTTTCTAGATGATAAAATCGTTAAAAAGATGACGAAGTTGGTTAAGAAAGAGATGTTTTGAAAGAACTTAGCTAAAATATGTTCTACACAAGTTATCTCGAACCATATTTTTAAGGTTGCCCGAATAATTTTCTCGTGGAAAATACCATGTGCAGCTCAAGTTTGATTTCAACAGCTATTTAGAAAAAAAATAAAAGATTCGAGATAAAATTGTTCTTTTTTTGAAAGTTAAATGCCCAAAAGCAACATGGGTTAAAAGATATGGGACCTTCCCTAACAATTTGTGGTATGAGAGAGAGATTTGTGTTATATCCATATCACTTCCAAATCTTGGGTTCTCTTCAGACAGACGTTGGTTTCTGTCCATTTTCTTTATCCTGTACTATTTATTCTACTACCAACAGTAATTTGTTTGTTTAAGCTCTAGCCCAGCCTTTTATAGTCAATTTACAAATCTTGTAGTGTAAAATTTACCTGGGATTTGTCAAAGAAACAATGAGTTAATGTTGCTAACAATTCAGACACGGAAAGAGACACTTGCATCTCGTTCTTTGCAACATTAAGCTGAAAGCTTGATTCTTTAGTCGCTTCTTCAATGCCATTCTTCTCCAAATCTGTACGTCTCTCTTCCAAAAGCACTTATTTTTGTATTATGGGTGTCAAATCACTTATTTTCTTGCTTCTTCTTATTGATTTTCATTTTTTTCCTTCTTTTTCTTGTTAATAGAAACGGTAACTGCTAGAATTATATTTTATTCTGTTTTGTCCTGATCTTAAAAATTTCTTGAATATCTTGTTTCTTTATTTTCTCTTCTCTGATATGTAAATTTTTCAATTTGAATACAAGATCTGGCACAATTCTGGGCTCATTCCAGTACTTGTAGCTGTGATTCTCTCTTGGTTAGTTTGTAGGATCGTTTTCTGTTTATTTTGACATAATGTTGCATATTTTTGGGTTTTCTTGATTAGAATTTTGTACATTTTTAGTCTTTTTTCTGGTCTGGTAGCTATGGGAATTAAGATTTACTGAAGAAATTTAAGTTACAAGGGTTTTGACATTAATGTATGTAGTTTAACCACTGCCTGCTGGTATGGGCGTATTGCTGATTATAATGCTTGTTGTTTGAACTATTTTTAATCATTTTGTAATTATGTACCCGGGTAAAGGAATTAGTATGTTACACAGTGGTAATGGAAGGTCAACTATATAGTCTGCTGGTTCTTGGGTGTGCATACCTGCAATTTAGTTGAGAATTGTCTTCTCTTTTCACTGTTGGTCGATTTATTTTTTTATTTTTTAACTTGCTGGCCGATGTGTACGAACTGGTGTCTTGATATTTCTCTATTATTTTGTCCAATTGTTGTGGTTAATTCAAAATTTATAGGTTCTTATTTGCTGGCTCCTCTTCTTCCATTTTTCTTGGTTGGCATATTGGTAGCAGATTCGATGTTGTTCTTTTCTTGACCAAATTAATTTTATGAAGTTCGATAGCACTAGTTTTTATGAATGGTACGTAGTCACTGTTGTTGATATTAAGCTATCAACAAGGCGTTCTCCTTTGTTTTGAATGTTCCTATAAATGTGCAGTAGTTTTAGGTGTCATTTGTGAATCTTGTATTTGCAATGTTATGGAAAGATACAGTGCTTACTTCAGAAGTCTGAGAGTTTTCATGTAGGAAGTTTATTATTGTTTTTCTTGTCCTGGTTGCTGCATCAGTATCGGTGTTGCTAGTGGCATTATATTCATTTCTCGAACAGAGAGAATTTTAAAGAATCAAATTGCAATTCTCTCAACGAGCCATTCCAATACAAGTTTTACTTATGAGACAAGTATTGAACACTATCTTCATGTCAGGTGATTGAAAAAATGTAGATCGAAAAAGCCACTATGAAAGATGTAGGACATGCATAATCAATAATTACACGAGAGGCTACATAGTGGCCTCCCACTTCTTGGAGTTGAAAAGTATATTGGTACTCTTTTTACCGAATCTTCTGATTCCTTTTTTAGTTCCTCTCCAACATAATTTTGCTAACAATGTTTCCCTGGGCAATAAGTGCCTTTCACACCAAATTGCAGACTCTTTGTCATGTACAAACGCACTTGAATTGCTTAAATAATATGTTTAAGCATAAAATGAAGGTTCGAGAGAGTATGTAGCAAACGGGCGGTTTAAAGAAATTGCTTAATCAAGTTAATCGAGTTTGGCAATGACCATATATTAAATAGCTAGACGTATATTATCCACATTCATCATTCTCTTGGCTAATTCAGTAAGGCCAACATAAATGCGCAAAGTGGAGTGAAAACATTGTGCAATATTCTGTTTAGTTATTCAAAGAATTAGCTTCATAGAACAACCTATTAGTGACGGACTAACAGGGGAACTTCTTCTATGTTATACATTCTCTTTTTAAGAAATTAAGCCGCCATGTGTTCTAGTTTTACTGAGAAATATAATTTCGTGAGTTGGATATGAGATGATTCCTTTTTATCTACGTACTTAAGAGATAACTAGGAAGATTAAGTTATTGTATGCTGCAAACCGACAATGTTTTGGATGTTTATATTTGCATTGTGGAGATCCATTCCCAATTCCCTTCTCTTTTCAACTTCAATAGTATTCACTTTGAGTTTTATCATCACGACAGTTTTTACCTTTTTATGTTAGCGGGAAATTTCCTAGAAAACACATTACACTGTTGCCTCTGTCTCAGTCGACTTTAAGCATGTGACGTTTGTATCAATAGTTTCCAGTTACCACGTTTCATACTATAGATCTCGTGGAAACTCAGCAAGATAGATAAGAAGTAATGGAAAGTATTGAAAAAGAAAAATAATCTGAAATTTTGTTCTTAGTATTATCCAGTACCATAAGATGCATTACTTGTAGCATGGTATCAGATCATAATATGGATGGTCAAAATCACAGACTGTTGTGTAAGATCTCTTGTGCAATAAAACCGAAGAACTGTGGAATTGAAAAAAAAAGTGGAAGTTGTTTTATTGATGTATTATTGTCTTTTTATTTCTCTTTTAATTGTTGACTTCATTTTGATATATAGTGTACTCTAAGCCTTATGCTTTCTTATTTTGTGCAGACATACAAGATGCCATTTGATCTGGTTTGATATACAGTTTCCTTATAGAAGCAACATGGCATTAGGATCAAAAAAAGGGTGGAAATCAATAGTTCCCCTCCATTTGAAAGCAAAATCAGCTCCGCGATTTTGTTTATTCGCCAAAGCAAAGTCGGCCAATTTTGGTCCTGGGAATACTCCGGTTTATCTCAATGTGTATGACTTGACACCAATGAATGGTTATGTCTATTGGGCTGGCCTCGGTATTTTTCACTCCGGTGTGGAAGGTAAATTACCGTTTCTTTTTTCTCAAGAAAGCACACGATTCTGATATGTCGAGATAAAGTTCAGTGAGGGCAATCATATTTTGATACTATGCAACAACATCCTTCTGTCATTTGGAGTTGGACTAAAAAAGTCATGAAATTCTGTGCTGAAAATGAAAAATAAAATGAAAAGATGAGTTTGCTTGACTAATTTACTAAAAACTGAAAAGAAATTATCCTAGTTTGGTAGTTTTAAGATATTAGTAAACCTGCAGGCGCCAAAAGAGAGAACAATATTTTTTTTCTTAATTATCCCAGTTTGTACTTCACAGTTCATGGTGTAGAGTATGCATTCGGAGCTCATGACTATCCTTCTAGTGGCGTGTTCGAAGTTGAACCCCGACAATGCCCGGGTTTTAAGTTTAGGAAGTCGATATTCATTGGGACGACATGCTTGGACAGCACCCAGGTTAGGGATTTCATGGAACGTCAAGCTGCAAGTTACAATGGCGATACATATCACTTGATCGTCAAGAACTGTAACCATTTCTGCAAGGACATATGTTACAAGTTGACAGGGAAAAGAATTCCAAAATGGGTAAATCGACTGGCGAAATTAGGTACTTTTCTTCAACCATTAAGAAAGTTGTCATTCATTTATTTACATGCAGTTTTTTTTATCCACTTCTATTGCAAACTTATCAGCTTCTGCTGATCTGATTTATTTTCATTTATTTTCAATTTATTGTCCATCTAGGCTCGGTCTTCAATTGCGTGTTACCCGAAGCCCTTAAAATTACTGCGGTGCAACACGACCACAAATGCCAAGCATACGACGATAGTGAAAAGAGAAGGCTAAGAAGTACTTTCAGTTGTCTGTCCTCAATCTCAATGAGACAGAGGCAATTGTCAACTTCTTCCTTGTTTCTACAGTCACCATTAAAAGGATGCTTACCACCTTGGGAATTGAGAAGGTCGATGAGTGGCTCGCTCAAGGTAAGGTAAGGAGAAAATGGCTCGTAAAATTTCGTTTTTCTTGTGCTTATGCATGTTTTCATAATGAAGCTTAATACGCTTGGGTGAGTAATTTGTGAATGGTGACATCTTATTGACCTCTTGATTTTTCCCGGTCTTTGTAGTAATGTGTTCCGTCTTTTGAGGGATCAGATGTTGTAAATCAACTTGTATTGAAGGGACTTAAAAAAGAAAGTATCTCAACTTTCATGTTAACAATGTCATTTTCGATTGTCGCTTGGTAAATACATTGGATATCTTTGTTAATTAATCAACGGCGGAGCCAACACTGGCCGCTGCCATGAATTATTTTTTTTCATAGGAGGTCGTCAGGCTATTGCCTGTGCTCACCTGAACCCGCCCTAGCTTCCTCGAATTCCTGGATTCGCCACTGAATGTAATCTCATGTAGTTTAGATCACAATGTGACCCAAATAAACAACTAGACAATTAACAAGTCTCATTGATGTCTATACTATCCATGTGAAAAAAGAAAAATAGATTCGTCACGTGAGAAAGGATGCTAAATTTTGTTATGGAATGCTTCAGTAAATTCAAACAAAACTGGAAGTTGAGTGATGATTGAAAATTAAAAAGCTAGTGACTCGAATGAAACTTCGTTCAAATTTGAGCAACCTTCCATGATTTCTATTTTTTACCCTATATCTGTCTGGCGCAAAAACACACTTTTTTGAGGAAATTAGATGGAGATGTCATCTATATGCTCAAATGAAGAATTTAAAAACCCACAAAACATAACTCAGCACAGAACATTCAGGGCATCAATAAGCTTTGCGGGAGGTTTGGACTTCTTTCCCAAGATATGACGAACACTTTTTTTATTTTTTTTTGTTCCTTTTTTTTTATTTTTTTTTGGTTTTGTATGTGGAAACTGGTTTCAACATTCAATACGGCACTACATTACCTAGGGTTATAAAGGAACTAAATATGTATTTTGAATATAGAAATTTATCCATTTATTCAACGAGAGACGTGATAGACGAAGCTAACATCACTTGAAATCTCTGCCTGGTTACGATAACTTGAGACAAATGTTTATCTTATGCAAACCATTGGTTGAAACTCAAGAGCACAAGGAACCCTGCAATAACAGGAACTAAAGACAACTACTGAACTATGAAGCATCTAAACAGATGAAAGATTGCTTGGAGTAAGATACCAAGAGGATTTGCTAGAGAAGGATTCGGTTATTCTGTGCTAAACTCGGAATGCACTGACATAGGATTCACATTAGTCTTATTCTTTATATTCGAAATCTGCAGGGAAGTATTTGGAATGTCAAGATCAGTTCGACCAGAGAGAAACAACTTCTTGACTTCAAAAGCAAGCAAAGCATGATTTTGTCGGATAGCATAACTAACAGTCTATTGATGATAGTTATGGATACTTGCCTACGTATAGCCTAATTGTACTCTTAAACTTATATTAAGGATGTTAGGAAAAACCATTTTCTGATAGACAGAGAGATACATAGATTGATAGAGGTGTGAGACCTCCGCTATATTTGTGTTCCTTTGCATTTTTTCCCCTGATTTCAGCTTGCTTGCTATTGCTCGCGGAATTAAAGGATTAAGGTCTAATCTATAACAACACCCTGAAAATGTTTCGAGTATGGTAACAAGCTCACCCCGTGGTGCCATTGACATAACACATCTTTTCATGTAAAAAGCTCCATTCCATCCTGCTCAAATACGCACGCCAAACAAAGAAACGAGTTCTTACTTTCAAATCATCGTTATGCATTTACGAGATTAAAGTACTTCACAAAATGAAGTGAAGTTCATTTATACTACTCAAGTACCTGGAGAGAACAAATTGTATTGTTTCTAGAATTAAACTAGTTGTACACACTAGTTAGACGTCCCATTAGGTGTAAAAATTGAGGCCATTATTTGAATAGGTATTATTCAAATCAGTGGCAAAACTGTGTGCCATATCATGGAGAGTAAACAAAACTATCAAAGTGATTGTACGTGTAGCAAAACTGTTCTTTCTAGCATCTCATAAGCGCAAGGCAAACTTGTTTAGGGCACAAACTATTCCTTCACTTTTCCTCTCCCATAATTTTTATATTCACTCAAAAGGCCACAATCCGGTCAGCTATTCAACTAAATCAAACAGTATAAATACACATATCTGCAAAACAAATAACCAAAAAACTGTAAACAGATAAAACCCAAATTCATGGTAGCAAAAGGGAGAACAAAAAGCACTAATCTTTATTCATTTTGAGCAAAGTGCAGAAATTAACAACAGAGAATCCATCTTTTCCCTCATGGATTCACATTATATTCCCTACACTGAACTTAAAACAAATATCCAATTTCGAATTGTAGATTATTCTTTCACTACCATAACGAATGATCAATCAAAATATCTAGCAATTTTCTGATGACCAAAAAGGTTGCAGTCGACTCTAATTTATTGAGAACACAGCTTTGTTTGTTATTCTTCGTTTATTGCATTTGAAATTAGAATTCAATATCTCCAATACCATCAAATAAAGAACCATCATACCTCAACAAATCAACAAGCTAGCCAATTCTTATGCGTACTGATGATAGCAGACAAAAGCCCGGCTGATGAAACCAACATCGGCGCGGAAAGCTTTCCTTTACCATCTCGAATATCAGCCAATGCCATCAATCCATCCGCCAAATCCTGAATTGTCGAAAGCTTCTTCATCAACTTCTTTTCCCTCAGTTTCCTCAACTTCCCCATCTCCTCTTCACACCCAATTCCCCTCAACTCGGACAGTTCAATGCTCGTCATCAAACACCTCTCATTCTCACTAATTTTCCTCAATTCTCTAACCTTCAAACTCACGCTCCCAAAATAACCAACAAATTCGCACCAAGCGCTCATTTTTTGCAATCTATTCAAATGCCTTTTATCAATCAAACCCGCTTTTCCTAACCAAACAAATTGTTCGATAAAATAATACAACCCCTCTCCTCCATAGGCTATTAAACAAAGAAACAAGTCCAAATCATACCCAGAACTAAAGTTGGCCGTCCTTAAAGCATTCACATCCTGAACAAATTTGCCCAAACGGAACGCTTTACGGCTTATTCCAACGCTTGACTCGAAGGATTTAAGGCGATTAATTAATGGGTTTTGCGTTTCAGGGATGATTGAGGAGGCCAGAATTATTTTGGTAGCATAGCGTGAGATTTTGAGTAGTTTGTCTACACCATCTCTTTTGGCCAAGTAGATTTCGAGGCGGTTCAAGAAATCTTTGGTCGGTTTTGTAGGAGGAATCTGAGTTTTGGAATTTTGAGTCGTAACTTTCGATTCCATGGAGTTTTAGAGAGAATCTGCAGAATTTTAGTTGAAATCGATGAAGAGAAGATCCAATGTCTGTTATTTTTCTTTCAAGCGAATATAGCTGAAGACTTGAAGTTGGGCAGGACTCGGAAAGGGTAATTACATCTTTCATCCCCGACTTTTAAGAGTAATGTTATTAATCCTCACTAGGGTTGATCCTCTATCTATGTGGTAATTACATGGCATTAGATGATAGATTCATTTAAATATAAAATCACATGACTCATTTAATTGAGTATATCATTTAATGTCATATAATTGTCACATAAATTAGGGTTCAACCCCAATGGGGATGAATAGCATTATTCGACTTTTAAAAAGTAGCTAGTTGTTATTCAATATTACGTTTACTTTCGTGTAATCAATCTTTAATTAAAGAAACTATTTAAATTTAAGTCATATCTTCGAGCAAATCTCTTAAAACTATCTTCACGAAGTTAGATTTTGCTTATAAAGTCATTCGGTGCTTGGATATTTGAGATGGAATATGCTTATTTGAAAAATCATGTAGGGTAGGATAAAACTTTCAAACCGAACCCGAATTGAATTGAATTGAACTGAATCCAACGGTTCTTCTCAAGTTAAAAATTCAAACGTATATTTGAATCGAGAATCGACGGGTTCGAAATATTCCTAATTTTTTTTTATCTTAAATAAGCCAAATTATTTTATTTTTTTTCTAAATAAATTTGCTAACTAATTAATTTAGCACAAATCCAAAATATGATTTCTATTTCTGATTTCTAGTCCAAGTCCAATTAATCAAATTAACAGAAATTTTACTGAAATCTCTTATTCTATCGTAGTGTCATTTCTACCGGTTCTGGAGAAATCGAATTAGAATCTCTTTATTATTGTGAGCTTACTATCTTCCTTTTCATGTGATTTTAACAGTCAAATCTATGAAAAAATCAACAAAGAGAAGCGCAAAAGATATCAAGGGATTGAACTATTTTATTTTGTAAGATCTAAAATTGAACATGTCATTAGTTAAATTAATGTAGCGTTATTGTAAATATTAAAAAAAAAAATTGATTATTTCACAGACCCGAACCCGAACCAGAATGGTTCGATAATTAAATTTGGACCAGATGATTTCACTTACTAAATACCCGAAAATTCGGATTCGGGGAACCGAATCGGACCATGTCCAGCCCTAAAATCATGTGACAATTTAATGAGAATTTTGACTAAATAAACTATTTAAATCTACGTCATAACATCGAGTAAATCGCTTAAAATTGTCTCTACAAAGTTAGATTTTGCTTCCAAAGTCATTTGATACTTGGATATTGGAGATGGTGTTTCTTCAAAAAATCATGACAATTTAACAAAAATTTGAAGAATGATGGTGAATAATAATATATAGGGTTTTGATGACACCCCGGTTTACACCCCCTTTACAATAGGAGGCCCACGACCAATAAAAAAATCGTAGACTCCCTATTGTAAGAGGGCTATACACCATAGATGTCAATCTCGGTGTGCACCTAACAAAGCTCGAATATATATGATAGTAGATCACTACGTGTCAGCGACTTCATCACCATATAGGTTATTTTCATCACAATGATGATTAATGGCAATACTCTTTAAAATATAGTAAGCTAATTAAGAATTTTTTCATTATTATTATACGATCAATTTTTTATGGTAAAAAAATTAAGATAAGTGTTAAATCATCATGTGATCCTTATATGTCTAATTTTATAAAGCTAAGTTTTGCTTGTGCTTCAAATTTTGGAGTGAGACGTGTCTTTATGACAAGTGCGTGACAATTTAGTTAACATTTAAATGAATTTTGTCATTGAAGATTGATTGGTCAAAAAGATAATGAAAGATAGAGGACTAAATTGCTTTTTTTAAATCATGGGGTCAACTTGCTACTGAAACAATAGATTGAGTTCCGATGTGCAAATTTTCAACCTGAATATGGTCTTCTTGATGTGTGTGCCTGTGATGTAATATTCATTAATCATTTCTTCAAATTTTTTATCTTTTAATTTAGTCGTTACTTTTCAATTAACGAAAATAAATTGTTTTTTTCTCTCATTATGACATCTTAATAATATAGTTTTGGGCATTTTTTAAGGTGTTGATTTTGAACAATTACGAAGGGTCCAATTTTGAGTGATTTACAGTAGGGATTTTTAAAACAAGCTTAACAGATGCTTTAGGGCTTGTGTTTGAGAGTTTTAGATTATCAATTATGAGCACTTTTAAAGTATTGATTTTAAGTGTTTACCAGTGGATCGATTTTGAGTGATTTTAGTAACAATTTTCAAAATAGTCAAATCCATGCTTAGGAGTTATTATCCATCAATTTTGAACATTTTTTAAAAGAATAAAATTACATATATGTCAATTAGTGAAAATTAGGGCCGGACAAAACTCTCGAACCTAATCGGACTGAACCGGATCCGAACTGAACTGAACCAAATCGAGTTATTTTTCTTAAATTAAATAATCGAATATGTATCTGAATCGAGAACCAACGGGTTTGGTTCAATTTTCGGTTCTAGACCAAGAACTGAAAATCGAATAAAAATCGAATCTCCCTAATTTTTTAATTTTTTTTATTTTAAATAAGTCAAATTATTTTATTTTTTAAAATAAATTGCTAACTAATTAATTTAGTAATTTAGTTCAAACTCAAAATATGATTTTACTATTTCTAATTTTCAGACAAACCCAACTTAATCAAATTGACCTAAATTTTACCAAAATCTCTTACTTCTACTGTAGTGTCATTTCTACCGTTCTATTATTGTGAACTAGCTATCTTCCTCTTTCTATTATTTTAATAGTCAACTCTATGAAGAACTCAACAAAGAGATGTGTAAAAGATATCACGAGATTGAATTACGTTATTTTGTAAGAGTTAAGATTGAATATGTCATAATCAAATTAATATAGTGTTGTTGTAATATAAAAAAAATTAATTATTGTACGGAATCCCCCGAATAGAACACTAAACTTTGATGAAAAAATGATTTTCTAGAAAATATTTTTTTTTTAACTTTTTGGTAATGGAAACAAATTTTATAACCAATTATTGAAAAAATTATCATTTCAATGGACAATTTTTATGTAAAACAAAGCCAAACGAACACAAAAAGATCCAAAATTTTAAAATTTTTCGGGTGGAAAATTATACCAATCAAACACACTTAATTAACAATTTCCTGGAAAACAAGTTCTAGGCAATTGTTTTCTCTGGAATTCATTTTCTTTCCATCCATTTTCCACCCTTACAATCAAACAGACAGTATTTTCTCGTACTCTCTCTCACGACTCTCTCCGTCACACCTTTAACTAAAATCTTAACCCTTTTAATTCTTCAAAATTTGTCTATAATCTCTCCACAAATTACCACATATAATACAAATATTCACTTTCCAATCAAATTTCCAACTAATTAGAGCTTAAGTTTGCCTTTTTTTTGCTACCAATTTGCTCTAAGACTGGTGCAAAGTGGTTATCATTAGACCATCGCCGATCGCGTCTGTCACTGCATTTTCAACTTCACATCCACTCGTCGGACCTTCCGAAACAGTCAACTTAAGTTATTTTGTCCTTGAAATTGAAAGGTAAATCAGCAGGTTGGCAATGGTAACTTACAATTCTAGATTTTTATTTTCTTTAATCAAAATTCAATTTGATAGGGACAAATGAAAATGGGTTTGAATTACATTTAAGTTTGTTTTCATTATGTCCGATTCATATTCAGGAACGATTTTTTTTTTTTTTTTTTAATTTTGTATACCGAATTGCGTCAAATTGATTTGTCATGTTATATGAAATGATGTTTGAATTGTGTATATAGAATGATTTTGTCAAATTAGGCTTACATTTATTGAATTGTCTTTACTTGAATTGATTATTTAGTATTGGATATTAGTTGTATATTTTTAGTTCCGATCACTTGAATGGATTGTTTTTATTGTTTTTTTTATTAGATATGGATAGATTTTTTAATCATAAATCTGTGTTTCTTATAATGAGTAAAATATTAATGAAATGAATGTTTAAGATAAATTGATGAAAATGATGTTTGGGATGAAATGGATGATGGATTTGGTGATGACACTGCCCTTAATTCTTCCCGTGGCTACGGCTACAGTCGAGAAAGCATTTTCTGTAATAACTTATGTTAAGAATCATTCGCGCAATCAAATCGAAGATAAGTGATTGAATGATAGTTTGATTACTTATATTGAAAATGATGTATTTGAAAATATTGAAAATAATATGAGTATAAAACGTTTGAAAACTGACGTAGAACAATTGTAATAAAATATTGAATGCTTTTATGTTTTTTCACAATTTTTTTTACAAGTTTAATTGTGTCCCTCTAACTTAAAATATCCGAGTCCGCCATTGGAAGGATTCGACTTGCCAATTTCTCGGAGAACAATTTCTCTGGTTCATTCCAGAATTTTGTATCATGACAAAACCATGCTTTCTAGACCGGTCTGTATCCTGTTCAATGCATGAATAGGCATCTAGTCCATTGGCCTCTCACGCTTTAGTTATTGGAATTGTTGTTGGTGTTACGTTTATACCCCTGGTCCTGCTTATTTGTCTTCTTGTTGAACAAAGTTGATGAAGAACGAAGACAAAATCAGCAACAAAAAATCGCCAAAATGGAGTGTTTGAAATCGATTATGAATCGCTGTCCTCAAACGATATTTATGGCCACTAGATAAGTGTTTGAAAGCTTTATGACATATAGTTTGTAGGAATAAATAAACCTTAATCAAGTTTGAATCAAACAAAACAAAACTTGAAAAAAATGAATTAAAGAACAAAATTATAAAAACTTGGTTTGATCTTTGGATTTCGATGTTGATGAATGAATCTAATGTTTGTGATATCATTTCAATTAAGAAAGTCACTCATATACATAGAATTACAAACACGATGCATGAAAATGTGCAAAAACTAAGCCAAAAGGATGTAAAACCCTTCAAAACGACACCAAAATTCAAAAAGCTGACGGACAAATTTTTGTACTCGGTGGCTGCCCTACAAAATTGGGCGCAATCTCAATTTAACAAAATGGCCACTATAATTGTAACACAAGGTCGCCCAGGCCATTTTTAGGTCATCACTGTTTTTCGTTCTCGTTTTGTTTTTGCTTGTTTTTCTCATGGTTAATAATTTCCATCGCTTCCAAAATCACTCCTCATTGTTAATTTGAACAACATCCAACACTTCTCAAATGGAGAACGCTGAGACAAGATGGCATAATATTGATGGTGGTGCTCGAGCTTGTGATGACACAAGATTTGGCATCTAATTATGTGGTTTCGGTAAAGAAGACAGAATCCGCTGAGCATTAACGATAAAGCTGCAGATATTTTATCTGCAACAGAAAATTTCAGCCAGAGTCATCTTATTGGTGATGGTGGATTTGGCATGGTATACAAAGTCTTATTGCCACAAGAACAATAGCCGTCAGAAGGCTTAATGGAGGTCAATCAAATGGGGAACGCGAATTCGTAACTGAAATGGAAACAATTAGGACGGTGAAGCACGAAAATTTGGTCCCATTGCTTGGGTACTGCATCTTAGGGATGAGGGACTTTTGATATACGAATACATGGAGAATGGGAGCCTACAATTTTTGTCATCGAACCAGCCAGATGCAGTCGAGGCACTTGACTGGCCCACCGGGTTCAAGATTTGCCTTGGGTCAGCTCGTGGACTTGATTTTCTGTATCATGGATTTGTTCCCCACATTATTCACAGGGACATCAAGTGAAGCAATATACTGTAGGACGGGAACTTTGAACCAACAACGTATGATTTTGGCCTAGCTCGGTTAATTAGTGCTTGTGAGAGCCATGTTACAACTTTGCTTGCCGATACATTAGGTTACATACCACCCGAATATGTACAGATTATGGTGGCTTCAACCAAGGGAGACATCTACAGCTTTGGGGTGGTGATGGAGCTCATCACAGGAAGATCACCAACTGGACAAGCTGATATTGAGGGAGGCAATCTTGTTGGATACGTGAGGTGGTATTTCTGGTTCGGCTACATGAAGGATCAAATCCTCCACATTCTTTGCTATTACAAGGTTGTGCACACATTAGGCCAACAATGCTCAAGGTAGTTGAAACTCTTGAAGCAGATTTAAGGTGTAACGTCATGCTTTAAAATGCAGGACCCAGGTACTTCAATGTTATAGCACTGGATAAAATTCAAACATTTTGACATAGACAAATCATCAACTAGACCATTACTTAGTGCAACTCCGGAATGCAACCACCATTGCGTCCATCTTTCTTATTGATATTTCACCGAATGAATACCAAAATTTTGACAAGAAAAAACTCAGCATTAACTTTTCTTTGATTCGATATTGTTCAACGATAGAAAACCCAGCAGTTGTAATATAAAATCACCGCTTCAAACAGTAAAGGGGAGATTATTAAAAAAAAACTGCAGTATGCCAAACACTGGAATGCGTTATAATTAAGACAGCATCAAAATAGTTTATAGGTGAATAAATTTTCACCAGTCTCAGTCTGCAATGTAAATAATAAAACAGGATGAAAATAATAAAGAAGAAACTACTATCTACTTGCAATCCTTCAAGAATTTGAAAGGGCTGAACAATTATGGAAATACTGAAACTTAAAACAACAATTTAAAACCAATCCATCCTAAATTGGTTGAATTCATAGTCATGCACTAGACGGCAACTTCAATGAGATTAATGCACTTACCACATCGATGTAATGAAAGTGAAGGGCCCACGACAATCAGGGAACGACCTGAATAATCAACCCGTTTCCCCAGCATAGTCATGTGAAACTTTTCTAAAACACAGGCGATATAAAGGACAAATTGAGTCGAGCTATCGAGGGTGAAAACTAACAAGTTGAGTTCTAAAGTTCAATCTGTGAGTACTTTTTGGCACAAGAAGCCCTCAGAAAACTTAAGATCATCAATATTTCCACTGCAATTGTTCTCAAATTCGAGTGCTCCCACTTCCTAGTGTGAGCTCAAGATCATCAAATCCCACCTCATGAATCCTCTCCCCTTCCCATGCCTTCACTGCTACATTATCAAACCCAAATTCTGTACCCTTCCCTTTGTCCAACATGGTGTCCTTGGAAGGAAGGTGTTGAGCCACATGTTTCACAAGATTAAAGGTCGGAGAGGTTGGAACCATGTTGGGTGCATTTGGATATGCCTGGAAGTTCATCCAGTGGCCAGAATCAATAGTAGATGAGTCTGACTCATCGCATTCGGGGATAGTGGTCGTTGGAGTAAAGCGCCGAACACGATTTGGACTTGCCGGGGCAGAAGCAGCAGCAGAAAAGGGGATATTCAAGATGGACATGGATTCTTTCGCGAGAGTTTCCAAATTGAAAGTTTGCTTAGGGTGTCTAGTTGGAGATGAGAGCGGTGGAGTTACAGGGGCACTGTTTGATATTCGAAGAGGAGGGAGAGGCGAAGGGATATTGTTAAGGAGGAATGCAAATGGATATGATGATGGGTTGGAACTTTGTCGAGTCGGGCTGGGGAAGGATGAGGATGATGGACTCGGTTGGTAAGAAGGTATTGGACTTGCAAAATAAGATGATGGTGGGCTTGGATTTACAGAAGAACTAGGTGTCATGTTGGTTGAAATGCTTCCAATATCCCGGCGTGGTGGTTTGCATCCCTGGATGATACATTCAATATTAAAAGCAGAATGTTAGAAACTATTACCTACAATTGAGACAGAAAAAATGAATCAAACGAGAACTTTGTACAACTTTTCTGTCTAAGAATCAAAGAAGAAAATGACCGTATTAACAAGGTTAAAAATAGCTATAAAATTGAGATTTTATACTAATTACATATCAGGATTCACGCTATTATGGAAACAATATCAGACAATCACAAAAATATTACATCATCTCGGAGAAACTCAGTTAAATTTAAATACTTTAAATTGATATTGAAATATAAAAAGAAATGCTGCATTCTTGCTAGATTATGCATGCTGATAGGAAAGAGATGAAATAGTTTACCTACAAACTCTTAACAAATAGTCTAACTCTAAACTCCAAAATCTACAGATGAAAAATAATAAAATCACTTGGATTTAGATAGCCAAAAGTAGACGAATAAGAGAAGAGGCCACTCGAGCTAAGAAATTATTAGCTGCACAAAAGAAATTAATACTTCAATGCTCAAAAAATCAGCTTTCCGAGTATTCCTTCTTCTCTCAACATTATATACACAATGATACATTTGGTAACACAGTACTGCACAACAAGTAGACGATGCTGCATAGATCAATGGACAAGATTTTAACGAATAACTAGCGTCCCAAACATGTCATAAATCCTTTGCCAATTTTTAAGTGACGGGAAATCTACCTACCAGTTTATAAGAAGCAACGAATATAGCCTTTTCAAATCCTTTAACCACAACTAGCACTAAAGGTTAAACATTGGGGTAAAGAAGAAAAATCCCCCGAAGAAACCTTTCAATTATACCAATTTTTTCCACATATAAAAAGCCAGAAAAACAAAAATTACCCTATTAAATTGAAAGCAAAAAATAGCAATCTTGATCCAAAATAAAGCAAACCCTAATTCCTAGATCTAAGTGGATCCAAGCAAAATCCACTAACAAAGAGCAAGAAAAAATAAAACTCAGAACAAAAAAGGGTATCAGATAACATAGACGAATTATTACAGAACAAAATTTTAAAATCAAAAAGAAAAAAATTACCTTGCGATAGGTGGTGCCATCAGGCTCAACAATCCAACCAGCTTCAACACAGAGAGCTTTGAGGACCTCATTGTTGTCACAGTGTTTAGGCAAATTGAAATCCCCTTGTGCCCTTAAACCTGTATAAATCTTGGCTGCTATGGCCCTTCTTCTTCTCTCTCTCCTCCTGTTGTTCTCTCTCTCTCTCCAAGATGGCTTCCTCCTCCCACTTCCACCATTTCCATTAGCAAACCCTCCTTCGGTTGATTCTCCAGCTTCCCACATCATTTTCCCTCCCTCTCTCTCTCTCTCAGTGTGGGTATGTATATATAACAATGTGTATGATACTGGGGTAGGACGGGGCGGGGTGGGGGTATATTTGGTTGCAGGGTTTCTGAAGAGAAACACACTGCTTCCCTCTGATCTCTCAAGTGTGGAAGAATCTGTGTGTTTACATTAATGTATCATATGATATATCTATTGACGCAAATTCTTGTAGGGGACGTTAAAAGTGTAATGCAGTACACGAAAACTTCCGGTGTGAGTGAACTTAATTATTGATACAGAGGGTTGACGGGACCCACATCTGTGAATGATGGGAGAGATGAGTAAGACACTATTGTTGATAATTTGTACTAAACGGCTTTTATCTTTTGTCTACTGTATGCAAGTCGTTTTTATCATGAAAAAACCCACTTGTACAGTCAACTTCTCATTTTCAATCACACATTCTTCAATAAAATAATATTTTCCATCACATCAATACTTTTTTCTTCTTTTTCAACCACACATTTCCCATCATATCACTATTCAAAAATCAATTTTTCTCCTAAAAATCTCTACCAAACACACTCTAGATTATAATCATTACCAAACAGGGCTTGATGAAATAAATGGGTAGCAGATAACAAAAACAACATTTTATGTAAAGAATGATCGATATGAGTGTCCAAATATCAAAAGTAAAATGATAGGGATAATTCCCGCAATGAAGCCAAACGATAAGGACATTTTGTTCAAATTATTCTCGAAATTCTTCTTAATATGAAAAAAAAAAAAATGTCTTTGAAAAAAAGTCTTACTTCTATTTTTCTCTATTTAAATCTTGTCTTCATTAGCTTGTCAATTAAGGCAAAGACCAAAATGTAAGTGATTTACAAGTAAGAAGGGGAGGAATAATACACTAGGAGAAGAGACAATATGATAGTGATCAGCAATGTTATCATAATGGTACTACGAAACAAATTTGTATTTCGTTTCATTTATAGGTTAAAAATTGAAATTTTAATTTATTTTTTTTAAATTTTTTTTAATTGATCTTGGCCTTTTTTTTCCCTTCCAAGTGGATATTTGGGGCAGTTTTTAAGACATTAATTATTGGAGAGCAAGAGATGAAGTGAGCGTGTGAGTGAATTACACAGGAGGAGCATGGTGCCACGTGGAGGTACTAAAATAAAATGAATATAATGAGGGGATTTGTTTATTTATTCTTATCTGTATGTTGTAATGAAACTGATAAGGGAAGAGTTCATGGCGGACAGTTCAAATCTTACTCATCTTCTTACAAATATACATTTTCCTTTCTTGTAATGGGTCCCATGTTGTCTCCTAGGATGTTCAACTAGTCAACCACCCAATTGAGTTTTGCCACGTCTAAAATTGGCCCACTTCCTCTTATTTTGACAATGATAATATTCCATCTATTATCTATTCTTATCTTATAGGCCTAAAAATAATGTCAAGTCCTTGTTTTTGTCGTAACTTGTGAGGAGAATTGATGCTAATTAGCATCGAGTCACAACTAAACCTAATAGAGTTGAAAAAAAGGAGTACCCTAGCCCCGTGTTGAAATGGTAATTAATATTATTAAAACTGATATTCTCCACGGTGGAGATGAAGACCATCATACACCAATTTTGAGAATTTGAGAACAATCCGAGAGAGAAATTGAGTCATCTAATTGGAACGCATCTTGAGAGACCTTTTTTGATGAGCAAAGTTCACGTTCTCACAGTTCTTGATAAGTGCAATTTTGACCATCTAAACACAACAATTGTCATCAATAATAATAAAACAACATTACTCCTTGATTCTACATAATGCACAATCTGATAAGCTTGAGGGGAAAAAATTGGTAGTCAAAAGTTAAATAAATTATCTATTTTGGAAGTAACTCTACTTTGTTGTCAAAATAAGTAATTTTTAACTCATAAATAAAAAACATAAGCACGCATAGACTTTAAAAAATGCAATGATGCATAAACATCGGTCTATTGCAACATATTTTTTCAAACCAGAATTCAAATTTCAATCTCTCACAAAGTAAATTAACAAAAAGTAAAGCACAGTTACACTTAGCATACAAACAACTTTGTGCACGTCTCAGTTACATGAATTCTT